GGTATTCTTGTCATTACAGAAGTCCAGAAGGAAGACTGCAAAGTGGAGTGGACTTGAGGGGGAGGGACTGCATAACAATGAAAGAGTTTTTCTTTATCTTTTCAAGAAGAAGAGTTAATTGGGGGGGGGGAAGGAGTGGGGGAGAGAAAAGTGCAACAATTTTAAAAATATGAAAAAAAGAGTAAACAAAATGTTCTACATCTTAAAACAAACCAACAACAAAACATTCAAACCAGTGTTAAGGATCTCAGCATCACAAGGCAGAGGAGATAAAGACGTGGCAGTTGGCAGCTGCTTTGCCAGTTCAAATCCAGCCTCCGCCACTTGCCAGTTCTGAGACCTGAAGACAGTCACTTTATTTGCCTCAGTCGTAATGTTCTCATCTTTGACACGGTGGTGATGATGATACACTCATCTCAAGGGCAGCCGTGAACATTTGGTGAGAAACGTCACTGCAAGCCCCTGGCTCCAGGCCTGAGTCAATAGGTATCTGTCTCTCCATCACCACCATAGCCATCAACACCGCCAGCCAGCACCTCCTCCCACAGTCCTTCAGGCGCCATCGGTTTGGCCAGGTTCCCTGTTTAGCAGGTGCCCATGCCAAACCCCTGAATCTCCCCTTCCCTCGGTTGCCAGGAAAGCAGTGTTTTGGGGAACACAGAGTGAAGTGAACATTCCGGCCTCGTTGAGGACCTGGAGCTGTCTCATAGCACTTTGTCTTATCAGGGGGCAGGGAAACCAACAAAGCAAGGAGCATTAACACATGACTGTGTTGAAGACGTCAGCAGCAGAGAGCTGCTAGGTTATTACAGCCATAGAGTCTGAGGACGCTGAGGCTTATGTGTTTCCGGTAAAACTGGGATTCCAAGACCAAAATAATGTCAAGTTAAGTGTAACCATTGCCATGCTGAAATTACTTGTTTTACTTAATAATTCCAAATTTTGTTTCCTTGTGCAGAACTCCAATCTTATATTTAAAATTAGCAAAATCATTTTACCTTTTTTCCACAGCAGGTCTGAGGAAAGTGTAAAATCTAAACTGAAAACTACCCAGTCCTTCTCCCTTTTTTAGCATCCCTCTTTCTATCTTGCCTCAACTTTTTTCCCGTGCGGTGGTGGTGGTGGTGGGTGCCATCGAGCTGAGCACGACTCATAGTGACCCTCTGAACAAACGATCTGAACCCTGTACTGTCCTGTGCCGTCTTTATACTTCCCGACACACAAGAGCCCCTTGGAGCAGTCATCATGTTAATCTACCTGGTTGAGAGTCTTTCTCTCCTTTGCTGACCCTTCACCCTTCCCAGCATCATGTCCTTTCCCAAGGAATAGCCCCTCCTAGCAATATGTCCAAAGGATGTGAGGCAAAGCCTAATCTTTTTTGCCTCTGAAGAGCACTCCAGCTGTTGCTGTTTATCATTATGTGCCGTCGAGTCACCTGCAACTCATAGCGACCCTATGTTCAATAGCTCTAAATTCTGCTCTACCTTGTGCCAACCTCACTGTCTCTGATACACCCACCCCAATTACCCCAGTCACTGAATCAATCCACCTCATAAAAGATCTTTCTCTCCTGCACTGTCCCTCCACCCTCCCAAGCATGACATCCTTCTCCAAGGATTGGTCCCTCCTTGAAACATGCCCAAATTATGTCAGATGAAGCTTCAGAATCCTTGCCTCCAAGGTGCAGCCTGGTTTAACCTTCTCCAGGACAAATCTGTTTGTTCTCCTAGCAGTCCATGGTATATTCAATACTCTTCTCCAACACCACAGCTCAAAGGCATCAATTCTCCTTCTGTCCTCCCTAGTCACAGCCCAGCTCTCTGACACAAAGACCATGGCCTCTATCAGGCACACCTTAGTCTCCAGAGTGACACCATTGTTCTTCAGTGCTTTGGAGAAGTCCTTAACAGCAGACCATCCCATCGCAATGCATTTTTTAATTTCCTGCCTGCTGGTGCCAAGACTGTTGACTGTGGAGCCAAGCACAAGAGTGTTGACTGTGGAGCCAAGCAAACTAAAGCTGTTAACAATCTCAATCTCTTCACCATCCATCCTGATGCTGCCCATTGGCCCAGTGGTGAGGTTATAGAGAAGATTTTTCAACTTGAAAATTTTCAGTGAATTTTTTTTAAATAACTTTTCCATTCGAATAGCTTTGAAATAGTCATCATTTCTTTCATAGGACAAACAATAAAGGACAGTTTTCTCTTTTTGAAAGCAATAAATAAATAGCTGTGATTAAATTGTGAAGATCTTTTAGGCAAAATTTCTCTAATAGTCAGAAATATATGGAAAAAAGCAAAACAAAACACAAAACTGAAATAAGGCTGGTGCCAGCCGACCTATGCTGTATGATTGATGACACATTTTAATGTGCCAGCCAGCATGTCCGTCCCTGGACATTTCTGCCACCCAACTAATTATGCCATCATCAAATTTATTTTCATCAAACCACATCACTTCCTGCATCTGCCTTCAGTCCACTTAGAAATGTTTCGTAAATTCTCCAGTTGTGTGTGTGTGAAAATGTACACACAAGGAAACATCCTCTGAATCAGTAATTTCTACCCGGACAGTTCATTGACAACAACTACGTTCTTCACATTGTTTCTCCATCCTCCCTATTGGTGCCCAGACTGCCTCAACACTACTAACTTGGGATTATTTTCCCACTGAAGTTCGCATCTGTGCTCTGGAATTAACTGCTATCATTTTTCTACCTCATAAATTTAATGCTTTAAAAAGGTACATTGTAAAAAAAAAAGGTACATTGTTCAAGGCTGACATTGTTGAGTTTAAAGATGACTTCATGGGTCAAGGTTTAAAAGTTATTTCCTGGCTACAAACCCAGGGGTCCCTCTAGTCAGTGTGTCCAGTAAGTTTTGTTTTCAATAAGATTTTTAAATCCTCTTCTACAATTTTCCTCCTTTTGATCAGGATTCCGTCTTAAATGTTCCTGGTCAGAATATTCGGTAAAGGCAGCTGGACACCATCCGTTTCTTCTAATTTCATGGTAAAGTGAAACAGTGGTTCATGGAGGTCATCAAATTTCCCACTGGAATATTATTGTTGTTTTTGTTGTTCAATTCTGAACCGATTCATAGCTGAGTCAGACCCTCCAATGAGTCTTCAGAGACTGTAAATAACATAGAAGGAGACTGCCATCTTTCTCCCTCAGAGAACCTAGTGGGTTCAAACCATTTGCCTTCGGGTTGGCAGCTGTGGTGTTAGAACTTTAAAAGTTGGCTTTTCTTTCCATTGCATAAGCCTTTGCTGGTCTCCATCTACCTCAACTTTGGACATACGGTCTTGCAAATCATCAACAGCTATGGAATCAATATAAGAGGGTGCTTTCCACACTGTGAGAGACAACGGTGAGAGTGGTGGAGAGATTGTAAAGAGACTGTGGCACTGCTGTGAAGAGACTGTGGCAAAGTGTAACCAGAGAAACCCTGGAGATAAAGGCCATGATTAAAGGATTTGCTTGCTGATGATTGAAGGAAAAGCTGACTTGTAACTGCTCTGAGATAAAGACCACAGTTAAAGCATTTCGCTGCTGGATGATTTTAAAAAAAAGCTGAGTTATAACCTTTTTGTGATAAAGTTTCCAGGATGATTAAGAGAATGAGGCTTCTTATATTTGTGGTGCTGAACTGAGCCTGGACTTAATTGATGAATTGTGCCTTGTTCATCTAGCTTGGGACTGCTGGACTAAACCTGGACTTGCATTGTGAAATATTCTTTGCCTCCCTGACTCTCTAACCTATTTTTATAATAAACCCCGCAACTGTGAGTAAAGTCTGTGAGTCTTGAAACAAACATCGGACCCAATGATTGGTAAAAATAGGTGCCGGAATATGGAGGGTGGCCTATTTGCATGATATTATGGATATTACTGATGGGCAGAGTTCCCCTTTATGAAACAGGTACAAGTCAGACTTGGCCAACTTCTGCTGTATCAGCTCCTTTTGCAGGAGCGTAACTCATTAACCACTAGGCCTCCAGAACTCCTTATCATATTAGAACACAGATATTAAATAATGTCAAGGGATTAACAAAATAGGAGTACCCAAGGGTCTTTCCCTTTCACTATTGCTCAGTGCAAAAGATGCTCCGGATTTAGGTGGATAAGCTTTGACTCATCCTCAACTCTGTTATTCTTTTCACTCTACTTAAAGGAACTGTTAAAATCCTGCCATGAATTTCAGTTAGATCAACTTGGAAATGCTATGATTACATATTTAAAACTTTATTTATGTTGAGTAAAGGGAGCTCTGGTGGCTTAGTGGTAGAGAGTTGCACTGCCCTCCCAGAGGCACATGGTTCAAGTCCACTGGCTAGCTGATCTGCAGGGGGGAAGGACAGACAGTCTCTGGTGCACTGACTGCCTCTGAACACCCACTGGAGGGTCACCTTTGAGTCGGTTCTGAATTCAGACTGAGGGATGCCACACAAGGTAAATGAAACTAATCCTTGCTCGGCTTAATCAATATGCAAGAAGAGGGATTGAAAGAAGGTAATTACTAAAAGAGGTTCTGGAGTTTTGCTCAGCATTTTTTTTTCTGTACTGTTGAGTCAGAACTTTGTTTCGGAGATATTTTCTGACCTGTTTCCATTATCAGATGCCAGTTGAAATATTCAGAGCAAAACCTCCAGCATGAGATTTTTTTTTCCTTATTTCTTCTGTCCTGATGCTGAGATGTTCACCGCCACTGGATATGAGATTGAAAGTCTGCGTAGCCTACACTGCATTTTGTACTGTGTTGTTTTTTCCTTGTATAGAGGTCTGAAGGGCATGGTTGATTGTGAGAGGCGTGGCAAGGCCTCTCGCTGCCACTTAAATGTAAAGAAAATTTATCAATAAGTGAGGGTGCGCCCCGTCTTTTTCTCTGATGTTTTCTCTGTCGTTTCTCCCTCTTGAGTTACCAGCAGCCCCTGAAAAGGTCTCACTGCTCCTGGGCCCACAGACACATGCCCCAAGGCTGCACTCTTCCCCGCAGGTCTATCTGGCGGCAGGGACCGTGTATGGACTGGAGGGTCAGCTGACAGAGCTGGAGGACGCCGCCCGCTGCATCCACAGTGGCACAAATGAGACCGAGCTGGCAAACCTAGAGGACCAGGTGGCCACAGCTGCAGCTCAGGTTCACCACGCTGAGCTCCAGGTGAGAGACCCCCTCTAGGGTCAGGTCGGGGTCCACAGGGCAATAAAAGAGGGAGCCCCACTGTCCACAAGGGTTATTGTAGATGTCCTTCCAAGGGTACAGTTTCCTCAACTGCAAAACCACGAGAAAGGCAGCGACTTCATAGGGTTGTTGTGAGGCATGCGTGAGTGCTCCTACTTGGAGCGCTTAGCTCTGTGCCTGGCCCTTTTCTGAGAGCAGGGACCATATCTATCTCATCCCTGTTGTTACTATTGTTGTGTACCATCGAGCCAGAACTGACCCACAGCTGACCCTCCAGCGGGTGTTCAAAGGCAGGAAATCCCACAGGAGGAGATTGCCCGTCCTTCTCCCATGGAGCAGCTGATGGATTTGAACCACATGCTTTTGGGATTGCAGCACAGCTTCTTACCACTAGGCCACCAGAGCTCCTCCCACTCCCCCATTTCTAGAGAGAGAGAAAAACAAAGTTCTTGCTAGCACAGAGCAGGCTCGTCCTCTCTCCATCCGCCTTCAGACCCTGTGGGAAGGAAATCTGAGCCCATCTATAGCCTGACTGTGTTATGAGGAAACTAATGATGCCCAGAGAGGGGAGGGAGTTTCCCAGCAACACTTGGCTTCTCCATAGTGGAATAGATTTAGCTTCCTCCTAAGGCCCAGTGCTGTGACTTTGGATCCGCGGTATCATGGGAAGAAAATGCAGGACCTATAAATCCTACTCTGTGATGTGGATTGATTCAGTGACTGGGATAATTGGGATGGGAGTGTCAGAGACAGTGCGATTGGCACAGGACAGAGTGGAGTTTAGGGCTGTTGTACATAGGGTCGCTATGAGTCGCAAGCGACTCGACGGCACATAACATAACATACATATAACATAAATCCTACTTGCCCTGAGAACCTCAGTCCCTGTGCTGCTTCCCAGGAAGCCTTTCCCGACCACTCTGTTGACCCCCTGCAGAGTCAGGAGACCTTGGACCAAGTTCCCATGGTGCACCAGGCTTCCACGCATCATCTAGTGCCCTCTGCCAGGCTTCTCAGCGTGCTCTAAAACTCCCAGGCTCTCCTTTTGCTAAGAAAGCCAGTATCTGATCTTACAGATCAATAAATCATACAAGCTTCTGAGAAAGGTTGCAAACTAAGCTTTCAGCACTCGTTGACAACTGTGAGGACTCAATGTCCATGTCGTTTCCTGGAAGCATTTTTAATAGAAAAGCACCTCGTAAATGTTGAATGAATGAATGAATGAGTGGAGTGAGCATACATCAAAGCATTTGTTCTTTATAAATTGTAACACGTTTAATGAAGATTCTCACCTTCTGTACTTTCTCTCCCCACAACCTCATCTTCCTGCTGTGTCAAGATTTCTGACATCGAGAGCCGGATCGCAGCCCTGACCGTTGCCGGATTAAACATCGCGCCCTGTGTGCACCTCACAAGAAAACGGAGCCAGAAGCAGAGGAGCCAGGTGCGTTTGTCCCGCCTCCCTCAGGTGACACATGGAACAGCCTGGATAATGCCTCGCGGCTTTGGCAAGGAGTTTCCACCACTCTGTTCTGTTTGCAGGTTCAAACCATAGACACATCCAGACAACAGAGGAGGAAGCTGCCCGCCCCACCTGTGAAAGGTAAGACATGTTCATGAAAATCAAAAACCACCTTTGAAAAACACAGACATCTGAGTTTGAGGACGCAATCTTATGCAATGGTAGCTCTGGTGGCCTAGTGGTAAGGAATTGTGTTGGAAACCCAAAGGTAGGCGTTTCAAATTCACCAGATGCTCCTCTGGAGAAAGATGAGCGGTCTTGTTGCATGCAGTTAACTGCCTCTGAAAGCCCACTGGAGGACCAGCTGTGGGCCGGTTGTGACTCAGTGGTACACAACACCTAGAACTGCTATGGTGGGGACTCTGTCTCAGTTTGTATTCCCAGAAGCAGACTGTGGGACAGACATGTGAGTGTGAGTAAGCAGTGTGAGGAAGGAGAGAAATGATTCAGGAAAGGACACTAAGTCAGTACGAGACCAAGCCAAACCCACTGCCAGACCTCCACGCATCATCTAGTGTACTTTAGAAGTGGTCTCTTTGTCGTACGACCACTGGTAGGTCCGAACCAGCAAACTTTCAATTCGAAGTCAAACACTTTAACTACTGTACTAGCAGTTGTTGTTGTTGTGTACCGTCAAGTCAGAACTGACCCATAGCTGACCCTCCAGCAGGTTTTCAGAGGCAATTAATCACACTGGTGGATTTGAACTGCATGCCCTTGGGATTGCAGGGCAGTTTCTTACCACCAGGCCACTAGAGCTCCCTAGTACCACCAGTGGGGTTTTTTCCACACTAATACAATGCTGTTTAAGCAGTAGGTGACTCCTACAGAGTTCTGTAGATCACTTCTAGGGACAACCTGGGTTAAAGCCCGTGGGAACCTCTAGAAGGCAGTGTTGACTGCATCTCAGTGTCTCCTGTCTAGAAGGGTAGGAAGCTGAGGTTAATCCATAGCAAAGCCCTCCATCTACACCACATCAGGGGAGGAGAAGTCTTTCTTCAATTTCTCCCCTGCTCTTCTCAGCGTTCCTTACAGACCTCCACAGAGGACCTACCTGGCCCTGTTTGTGCGTGCTTCTGTGCCTAAATCTGCCTGCTTTTATATCTCAAGTGGTTGGCTTAAGACACGCCCTCTATTGATAAATAGGTCCTCCTCAGCATTGCAGAAATCCCTATTCCCAGATACACAGGTTTGGGTTAGGTTCCTAACACTTACTTGTGGCGGCACACTTTAATCCTTACGGTGACTGTAGCAGTGGGTTTGTGTGTCTCATATTGTGGGGCTGGTGTAAGTATAGGGCGAGAGTTAGATCTGTTGTTCGTAGAATTGCTGTGAGTCATAGAGAGAGCTCTGTTGGCCTAGTGGATAGAAAGTGATGCTACCAAACCAAAGGTGGGTGATTTTAATCTACAGCCCTCAGGCCTGGTTTTAATCGTTTTTGATCAAACATTCTTCTAAGTGGTCTGTCCATTTGCTGTACAGAGGTAACTAGTGGCTGCTGTGATGCTAAACATGGTGACACTGATGTGTCAAATGTGGTAATGGGTACCCATGGTGGGCAGTGTTTGGTGGAGCTCCCTGACTAAAGCAAGCTTGGAAGCAGGAGTGGCATCCACTTCTGAAATAGTTTGCCTCCAGAAACTCAATGAACTTAGAAAAACGATGAAAGCTATACAAGTGTTCAGGTCTTTTGTTCATAGGGTCGCTATGAGTCGACTACAAGTCGATGGCACTTAACAACAACAACAGTTCAATCCACATGTTACTGAGTGTGTTCGAGTAGGAACCAACCCGTAGCTGACACTCCGGGAGCACTGGAGGATGGTACCCATCTTTCTGGTGCCACATACCTTTGTGTTGACAGTCCAAGTCCTTACCACTAAGGCACCAGTCCTCCCTATTTGTCATTGTTATATGCCATGGAGTCACCTGTGACTCAAAGCGACCCTACATACAACAGCTCTGAACTCTGCTCTATCTTGAGCCAGTTCCATGGCCTCTGACACGCCTCAGTCACTGAGTCAGTCCATCTCATCGAGGGTCTTCCTCTCCTGCACTGTCCCTCCACCCCTCCAAGCATGACATCCCTCTCCAAGGACCGGTCCCTCCTGGCAACATGTCTAAAGTACGTCACATGGAACTTCAGAATCCTTGCCTCCAAGAAGCAGCCTACAGGCAGCTCCCTATAGGAAGCATCTAATAATCAAATACATCAGTATACCTGCAGCAGCCATGCCATCCGCACTCAGTCAGGCCTTTACATAGTCACATGCCGTTTCAGGCTCGGATGTACCATTAGATAAGAGTTAAGAAAATCTGTCATTTTCTAAAGCCTTTTAGAATTGCAGTTAAGAATTTATGGACCATATTGGATGATCTCTGAATATTCCTTTTCTCAAAAAGCAAAGCTACAAACAATGCCTTGAGGTATTTGACCTGTCAGATAAATAAATAAATGCAAAATAAAAAGGTTCCACAAGTCAGACTTGTACATGGCAGTAACACGCTGAGTCTAGCACGAAAACCTGGGCACCCAGCCACGTGGCCTTTCTTCTTCATTAACTCATCTAGCTTCAGAATAACACTCTGCTATGTTTCTTTGGGGATTCCCCCCACACCCCCCCTTAGCTGAAAAAAACGAATCCTCTTCAGTGACGGCCCTGAAAACGTTCAACCACAACTTCATTCTCCAAGGCTCCTCGGCACACAGGACCAACGAGAGGACAGGCACCCCCAGGGACTCGATGGTAAGTGGCCTCTGCTTGGTGGCCTCCCTTCCACTGCCAGTGGTGTTTCTGTTACATAGTCTTCCCGTCTTCGTGAGCCCTGGTGTCACAGTGGGTACAGCCTTGGACGGCTAACCTCTGGAAATCCTCTGGGGCACCTCTTTCATTATCAGTGGCAGCGGATGGATCTGACTCACGTCAACCCTCCATTGGGTTTCTGAGGCTGTAAATTTTTTTAAATTAATTTTAATGAAAGTTTACAGACTTAGGGTTTCCAGTCATTCACTGTTGCACTTTTCTCCCTACCCACCCTTTCCCCCCACTTCACTCTTCTCCTTGAAAAGAAAAAGAAAAACTCATTCATTGTTATGCAGTCCACTCAACTATGCAGCCTTCACTCTGGACTTCTGCAATGACAAGAATGCCCATTCATATGTCCCTTTTAAACAGTTCTCTCTCTCTCATCTGTTTCAATGCAGTATACCTCATTTCTCCCCTCCTTTTCTGTCTTCTCTCAACCCCGATGTCAGTCTCGTTTTACAACAGTGGCACTATGTAATATTTGTCCTTTGGTGACTGAGATATTTCACTCAACATAATGTCCTCCAGGGTCATCTATTTTGTATAATATTTCATGAGTTCCTTGTTTTTCAAGGCAACATAGTATTCCATTGTGTGAATATACCACAGCTTCTCTATCCATTCATTTGTTGATGGGCACTTGATTTGTTTCCAGCTCTTTGCTATTGTGAACAAAGCCACAGTAAACATGGGTGTGTATATATCTGCTTGGGTGGCAGTTATGGTTTCTTTAGGATAAATTCTCAGTAGTAGAATTGCTGGATCAAATGGTATTTCTAGTTGCAATTTTTTGAGAAAGCGCCATATGAGGCTGTCAGTCTTAATGGAAAGAGACATCCTCATCTTTCTCCTGCAGAAGGACTGGGGGTTTGAACTGCTGTCCTTTGAGTTAGCAGCCCAGCACTTACCTACTCCACTCACCCATTCCCCCTCTCAATTATACCTTCACCTCCTTGTAGAAACCAGATTTGATATCAGGGAATTAAAAATATGAACATAGGCATGTTTATAAACACAGGAGGAAATAATAACATGCAACCAGGAGACCTGGGTAGAACAGATTTTGTTTTGTTTTATTTTTCACCCATAATTGTTTGTCTTTGTATATTTAGTTTCCGCATCAATTACTTGTTCTTTCTGCATGAAGTCAATGGTGGCCCCAATATGAAGCCAAAGAGGGCCAGTAGATAATTTACAGACTCTGAAAGTCAGACAGAAGGGTCTAATATATTAGACCAATATGTGCTGTAGAATATTGACAAGTGCTTGATGTTGGTTACCTAGGAAATGATGGTCCCGTCTGTGGTACTGGTTATGCCAAGGACATGCCATGTCTGAAATGATGAGTCTGAATGAAGTAAAGGCAAATGTACACTCTTAACCTTCTGTGTGTCGCTCACCCCTCTTTCCCAGATTTCTCCACCACACCACCCTCTCCATTAGCACAGAAGCACAGTGAGGGAGCATGCATTTCAGAATTACAAGTTATTGCATCTCTTTATGGCATCCTCTCCCTTACAGATCAGTCCTTATCCCTGGCCTTTCAAACCCCAGTCACCTTACTCCTGATTGTTAACTTCAGAGAGCGAAAAAAAGATTCACTAGCAAACCAAACGGTAGAACGCTAGGACCAGAGAAGGTATCAGTTCTAAATCAGACCCCAGTAAGTAACAGACAGAAGTTAAAATGAAAAGAATAGAGAGTATTGGTTAGACAGATGCAAACAGACAGAGAAACGGTAGAAAAATAATTACTTTCAAACAAAAGGGAATGTAATGGAAGACGCTTTCAGGGAAAACAAGGAAGGAGATGTCGTAATGCTGATGAAATGGAGAGAGGAAACACGTGAGTCTGTCTTCATTTGGCAAACAGTAAAGCAGCACTTGTTACCGTGCTTTGGTGTGTGACTCAAAAACTCCCTCCATAGCCTTTGGAAGCCCAAGGAGACCAGCAGTCAGTGCCAGTTAGGGAATTTGAACAGTGTGGTTATTAAGCTTTCACAGAGATTTTGATCGCATTTTGTTCTTTATAAAAGATTGACTTACGAGCATCAATGGAGCTTTTATAAGACTTGATTTTATGCTGGCTCACAAGAAAAATGTCAAATTATTTTAAAAACTACCCGGTGTGACCACAATGCCAAAAATAACCTGGAATGACAATACCCACTAGGACTTTTTGCAACAATGGCATGTTCTGTATCTGCTGTGCTGGAAATGGTGACCTCTGGTCACCCATGGCCATTTAACCCTGTAGTGTGCCTACCAGGCCAGAAGAAATTCTCTCTTTCATTCAACTTTAAACATCACATCCTATTGGTTGTTTTGTATGTGGCATTTCCACTTTTCAGAGAAATTGGTGGGTTTATACTTTCTCACATTCACATCGTTACTTGACTTGATGGCACCTAACACCAACACCTATCTACATTTCTACGAAAAAAGCAAATCCACAAAAGGGCTTGGCAGAGAAAAGCACTATTGTGAATGAAAGGATGCATGAGATCAAAGTGTCAGCATTTGTTAGGGGACAAGTTTAGAAAGCAGGAAAGGGATATGACAAGAGTCAGGTGAAAACGGGAGACATAAGGGAGAAGCAGGGTGACACCTCTTACAGGGTGGGGGTTGCGGTCAAAGACACAAAACACAGTGTGTGTGAGTAGTTGAATGGAAATTGGATTTGTTTTGTAAATTATTGTCCAAATCATAATAAAAAGTTTAAAAAAGAAAAACTGAAAGCCATGGTGTTGGAACTGATTCAGAGCTGCCCCTCCAGTATGTTTTCAAGGCTTTCGATCAAACTGTCCATCTTTCTTCTGCGGAGTCACTGGTGGGTCAGGACCATCATAGATGCTGGACCCTTGGGTTAACTGCTCATGGACTGTACCCCCAGGGCTCCAAAGAAGAGAAGGTCAAACCCCAAAACCTAATGGGATACGTGTAAAACTACAAGCAGATACAAGAATGTGCCATATGATATGATATTTTTTTAATCAAGCATTACATCTTAGTATTTAATTTATGGGTTGTTTTAACCGGAAAAAACTGCCAAAAAATACATTAGATACAGGTTAATGGTGGGAAAAGAATCAAATACTTGCCTTATGCCATATACCAAGCAAATTTCAGATGAATTAAGAAATGTATGTAAAAAAAATCAAATCACTACTTTTTTATGTGGTAAAATATCTAAACGGTCAGTGGGCATGCCTTGATTTTGTAATATAAAAGTCTGTAACCTTAAAACAACTATGAGATATCATCTCACCCCAGTCAGAATAGCAAAATTTAACAGAATGGCAAGCAACAAAT